CTTGGGTATTACGCTATGAAAATTTATCCAAAGCTGAAGTAGACATACCTGAAAATTGGTCTGAAATGATTCAGCAAAATGTTTGTAGATTAAATGAATATTTTTATACTAGCTTCTACGTAATTGCACATTTTTATTATATTTGGAGAAGCGGGCATTCAATCTTTCGCAAAATCTGTCTACAAATTAAAATTCTATACCAAACTTTCCATTTCCTTTTTTCATGGTTTGCATTGGTAAATATATACTCTATTTATTTGCACTATTTATTTATAATATTAATTTGCTATTTTTTTTAGGGAATTTTCTGCTCGATTTTTTTAATTTTGGTGTTACATTTACTACCTTTTGCATTTAAATTGAATTTGCTTCCGAATTCTAAGCTTCGTACCGATGATGTTATACCTAATTATCTGAATCCAACAACCGGTTTTATTTTATATGGGATTTATATTGCAATTACTACAATGCATTTTATTTGTGCATTAGTTAACAAAACTCGAATGTAGGTTTATTATTTAAAATTTACATGATTTTATATCTTGGTGTATTTAAACTAATAATTTTCATTGTTACTTAATAGTTCTAAATGGTTTGATATTATTCCGTTGGTGTTCTCTATTATTCTCATAATTTATCTGTCATTCGATATTTTTTGGTTTGCAATTTATGAGTTTAAACTCTATAGTTATAATTATAATGACACTGCATATTATCATTACAGAAATGGCACTTATTATACGTATGTCTATTTTCTTATTGAGGATGCTAATAGAAATAATACTTTTCAATATTCTGAGAGCTATTATGATTACTATTATAATGATTATCATTTTATACCCCCCACAACTATAAATGGCACTGGAACTTTTTATCAAAATTATCATTACACAAATGGTACTTATTATAATAATAATACTTCTTATGAATATGGTACTTATATTTTTAGTCAGGATAATCTCGCTTATTTAATTAAGTATATGTTTACTAACAGTACTTACAATTATGGTACTTATAGTAATACTTATAATTTTAATGACCCGTATAAAACTAAGATTAATATATTTAGATATAGTTTTTTAACTCTAATTCCTATATATTGTTTATATTTTGGTATGAGCTCAATAGCATCAAATACATGGGATACGTTTATCTGTTTTTTTTGGTATTTACAATATATTTTGTTTTTACCATTTAATTGGAATGTATTAACTATTTATAGTTTTTACAATATTAACATAAGGTAATATTAATTAAAATTTATTTTAATTTGTTTTAGCTTATTATAAACTAATTTAATTTATTTTTAATAAAATTCTAGTTTGGAAACAAATACGTTAGCTGAAACTACTGAAGAGATTAATTCTTTTTTAAATACTTTCGAAAAAGATATTGCTAAAGTTTCATTGCCTTGTGAAACTGCTATTAATACTGCATACAATCAGGGCTGGAACGAAATAATTCGAAGCAGCAATAATGAATTTAAGTATAAAATTCAAGATAGTTCTTTGAAAGTATTTGCACCATGGATTATAATATTGTGGTTTACAAGCAATGCTTTATATGCAATTGGATTATTTTTTATATTTAATCATATTGAAGATAAGAATAGTTTGGATTTTTATTATTATTATTTTAACTATTTATTAGTATACTTTGAAATTATTTTATGGTCTATAATTGGATTGGCTATGTTTAAACTATTTGGTTGTTTTATATATTGGTTTTTTAAACTTTGTTAAAAAATAAATTTAGATAATATAAAAATATTAATTAATTGTATAGTTTTTGTTAAAATTTGCTAATACTAAAATTTAAATCTATTTAAATATTAAAATAATATTTAAAATAGTATATATATTAAAATTACCGTCTTGTGCAATTTAGTTTATTGCTTTAAAGTTACAATTTGATATTAATAATTTAAATATATATATACTATGATAAATCTTGATCCTCAAGGGTGTGGCGACTTAGTGAACTGGTTAAGTTGTCGCATTCTAGATGTCAGGTCAAGATCTTGAATCCTATCGGTGATGATTTTTGAATTAAAATAAATATATCTGGGGTGTTGTACGATCTGTATAACAGTCATCCATATCCTCGAACGTTGGAGCATCACTTTTAGGCTCTGGCCTTGTAACTCTAAGTACTAGGCATTATTGCAACATACCATGTCACATCCAAGAAATATGTCTGGTTAAGTGACAGTAGGCAGGTATAAATCTGGTATAAGTATCATTAAAAATGCCAAAGAAGAACCATTGAAGGACTGGGAATTTACCCAATCTGGATGCAAGTGAGAACCCATCTAGAAGTCCTTAATAGGAAAAATAGGATTTCGCCGATGGTGTCAGTTTGAAATTAGAACTTTATAAGGTCAAAATACTGGTTATAGTAGTAGGAACTATAATTAGCAACTCAATAAATATGTGGTGTTATGAGTAAATCCGACCCTAGGACCATGAATAATAAATATGCAATGACCCACGCAAATGCACCATGAACACCCGTCGTACCACGATGCCCGTGACCCAGGAAAACCCAGGTTCCCATTTAGTGACAGTGCCGATTCCATTGAGAAAAGCCACTCGTCCAATTTGAAAGACATCTGTCAAGATAATATTACCTTGGCAGGTAAAGTCTGTGGTCATGCTAATGCATCATCATATACTGGGTTGCGTGTCATTGTTGGAGGAATGAAAATTCAATGAAAAATGTCAAAGTAATAACAGATGGGTTTAGGAAAAAGGAAAAAGTGTTAATAAAAAGAGTAAAAACAACTTTTATCAATAAGAAAAGGATATCAAAGTCATATTCAAATTTCCTTCTTTTTCTCTTGTAATTTTTTATAAATATGAATTAAATTTCCTTCTTGTAATACATTTTACTTTTTAATCTTGTAACCTTTGAGTTTTAGATAGACTTACTCTAAATAATAAATAAAAAATATGAGTTTTAACTTGTGTTTCAGATCAAAATAAATAATATATATTCCTTTAATCTATTTATATTACATTCAAATTCTTTTATAATGTTTCAAAAATCATCTTGACCAGTATCAAATTATAACTGCATCACCAAGTTTTTGAGTAACATTATATAATATTAATAATTTTGTAGTAACAATTTATCATATTCTTTCTTTTTTCTAGCAGTGCTTTTCTGACTCTAAGAGCTTATATTATTAGTAATATATATATATATTTTTTTTTTTTGGTATTAAGGTGATCTCTTTGGTCTTTTG